AGTGAGAGCCTGCCCTCACCAGGTTCCCTCTCTCCCTGAGCGCCAGCCTTCAATCTGCCTCCATTTCTCCAGGCAGGTTAAACATGCACCTTTAATAGACCCCCAAGGAGCTCTTTCCTGGGCCTTCCTCAATTCAGGAACAGAATGATGACCCATGCTCTAGCTCCAGCCTCCTCATCCTTCCCCCTCCTCTCCTCACACCCTGCTCTGACTCTATGGCTCCATTTTCATCCACACTCCCCACACATCCAGAATCTGCCCACTGCTGCCCTTTCAAGTCCCAGCTTCTCTGCTTCTGTTGCAGGCAGCTGAGTTGGACAGAAATATTAAAAGCAGTCAGACAGGACTAGGCTCTCAAGGAGAGAGTATGGAGGACAAGATGACTTCACAACTGTCGGAGAGACAGGCAGGCCCCTGCTATGGGCTGAACCTCAAGACAAAAGAGTAAACAACTGCAGCCCCATACCTCCCTAAAGACAGGCATCCAGGATTGATATTCTAAAGGAATCTCTCACCTGAAGGACACCTGAGAGTCACTAGCCCAGCCCCTATAGGAAAATCCTTCATTCTGTATTTGTGCCCACTTGCCATGCCTGCTTGCTTCCCCATTTGGTCCTGGATTTAATCAATTTGACCTGAGCAATGGAGCTTGTACTCTGATTCGTTGACCATAGTTTTGTCCTGCCTCATGCCCACCTAAGGGAGTTCCCATGTTCTTCACCTTAGACCCACCTTACCACATTGTTGATTTTGTTTTTTTGTTTTTGTTTTTGTTTTTTGGTGGAACCCAGGTTTGAACTCAGGCCCTTGCGCTTGCCAGACAAGCGCTTATTCTACTGAGCCATCTCTCTGCCCCACCACATTGTTTTACTTCATAAAAATTCCTAGAAAACACAGGATTGGAGGCAACCCACTCTGATTCCCCCCTCTGTCCATCTTTCAGACAGGACATTTCTTTTTCCCAGTAAATATATTCTTTTAACTTCCACTGTTCCTAAAATTCTTTCTTCAGTTTTAAAGAACACGAACTCAGCCCAGGTATCTTTCAGGTTGGGAATTTCAATCCCCTATATCATTTGGAGGGCATCCCCTGAGATCATTGCGTAGGTAAGCATTTGAGTTTCTTTATAGTCTCTGGATTGGGACTCATTTAGGTAATAAATTTTTATGCTTCAAATGTTGATATGTCTTTGCTCATTGCTCATAATTGCTTAAGCTTTGCCTCACACAGTTTTTTCTCATACATTTCTGTTAAAATTGCTTATAACTGTTTA